GTCTGGGTCGGGCCTAGGCCCGGGGGTAGGGCGAGTCCGGGCTCGGGTCTCAAATTTGGTGAACCGGCCCGGGCCAAATTGATTTTTTTTTTCATTTTTGGGGTTCCACCCGGGTTGGGCTTGATGGGTAGGATGGGTTTGGGGGAGTTTGGGAGGGTGGGGGGGTGAGGGGGGGGGTTAGGAAAGCAAAAAAAAAAAAAATCCAAACCGGAGGCCCGGCCCTAGGGATGGATTCGGGCCGGGTCAGGCCTGGGTCAGGCCTAGGCCCGGTCGGGCCGCCGGTTCGTATCACATGGGCCCGGGACCGGCCCGAGGGTTGGACGGATCCGGTTCGGGCCGGGCCACCCGCCCGGGTCACGGGCCGGGCCACCCGCCGGGCCGGGCCGGGTCGGTTAAATATTTTTTTTTAATTTATATTTTATACTTTATAGTTTTATACAAGTATTAAAAAACAACTTCAGGTGCATTTATTTCAAATGAAATAGGAACTACATTTGAAAATTAAATAGGAACTATAATTGTTTTTAATCGGAATCTCCGGCATAGGTAGAGCCACCCTCTGTTGTAGATTCATCCATAAAGTGTTGGGATGGAGTGATGTCAATTTCTTGAGCTCTACGTGCTGCTTTCAACCAATCGTGGTAGCATATAAAACCGGCCGAACTAAATTCTTGAGCTCAACCTCGTTCTGGTTTGTGTTAGAACATTGCCGGCCGAACTAAATTCTTGTTCCACGGCAACCGTTGAAACCGGCATTGATAGCACTTGGTTAGCCATCTTTGCTAAAACCGGGAACATTCTTTCTTTTCCCTTCCACCAGTTTAGTACGTCAAAATCATCATCTACTTCAAAATCAACATCATAAGTTAAATACAAAAAAATCTCATTAATTGTGCTTTGTTGTGTAGCGGGAGTTGATTTTGTTTTTTTAATAAGATTGACAAACGTAGATTTGAAAATTGATTTTCCTTTAGATGATGTTTGTGTCGGGGGAGGGGGCGCATTGCCATATTGTGCATGAAACTCATTGAATAATGCATAAAATATATCACTAACCTCGTTGTATTCTTTTTTCGGATCAATTGGGTTGTCCTCATACATTGGCAATGGACCAAAAAAGCAGCATAATAATAATTCAAACATTCTTCTAAAGAACCAGGTCTAAAACGAGGATCGAGAACAAATGCAATACCATAAATATGCGGAATATGTGAATAATATTTTAAAAACTTTTCCTTCATAAAACCAGCAAAATAACTCACATAATCAGCATTCTCAAAATTTGAAAAAGCACCGACGAGATTAACAGCTTCACGAATAAATTGGTTTGAGGTAGGTTTATAAACATGACTAAAAGTTTCAGTTGCATTATTAAAATATATCAAAGTATTACAAATTTTTTCACAGGTGTCGATCTCAGCCGAGTTTATAATATAGTTATCATATTGTTTCATAAAAGCAGGAAAATGTTGTTTATTCTAAGAAGAACTCCAATTAACTTATAGGTACTATTTCAACGAATAGACAAATCTTTTGGAAAAGCCACATATCTCTCACCTCTTTCTATCAAATAATCATGTCATTTTTTCCTAAGTTGTCCATTACCCCAAATACGTTTAATCCCCCCCTTGACTACCTCCAACGATGCTCCCAATGCTTTTAGACCATCTTGCACACATAAATTTAGAACATGACATGCACATCGTTGATGAAAAAATCTACCCATCAAAAACGTAGAACCACACAATTCACGCAATCTAGGAATAGCAGCAGTATTATTAGTAGCATTATCAAAACCAATAGCAAACACCTTATCAATTAAATTATACTCAATTAAAATACGTTCAATCAAAATATAAATATGTTCAGCAGTGTGACGATCATTAAATTCACGGAAAGCAAGAACACGTTTATGCATATGCCAATCATTATCAATATAATGTACAGTCAGACCCAAATAATGTAAATTATGATAAGTATCCTCCCATATGTCAGAACATACAGTAACACGTCCATCAAAGTTTGCAAAATAATTTTGTAACCTTACCTTTTCCGCACCATAAAGCCTTGAAATTTCTTTCTTAACCGTTTTGCGACTATAACCTCTATATTGCGGATTTAAACAAGTTTGTGCATAATCAAGAAAAGCAAGACTTTCAGAAAACAAATAAGGCAAATTTTCTTCAATAAGTAAGTTAGCCATACCTGTCAAATTTTGTGCATCATTGTATGAGAAATTACCAAAAGCTTGTTGGTTATTTGCAAACCTCGATATTTGCGTTTGCTTCCCCGTTCCGCCGCCTAATTTTGCATACTCCACCGGGTGTTTGGATTTAAGGTGTCTTGTGGCGGATCCGTATCCGCCGGAAATCCCCAAGCTATAGTTTTTCTTGCACCAATTGCAAGTTGCGGTCCAACTCCCGGTGTTCGGGTCCTTCCACTTAGAAAAATTATTAGCCATTAATTCAGATTTACTTTTTTTTGTACCTGTATGGGATGAGGCTGCTTGGTCGGCGTCATGGCTGCCGCCACCCTCCTCCTCCTCCTCGTCGTGGCTCTTCGGAATTGCTTCCTCCACATCGTCGTCCTCGTCCTCGAGCTCTTCTTCGTCAATGGTCCTCGGTTGGTCTTGAAAAAAGCGGGAATTATGTCGGTGCAATTCTTGTTCTAGTTGTTCGTCGGTCATCGCATCCCCATCCCTCCTTACGTAACCCGTATCAAAATCATCTCGACTTTGAGATGAAGAGCCGATATGTGATTTACCTTTGCGGGATCTCTTCCTCGCAAGCTCTTTCGTTCGGTTGCGCTCGAGGTTACCCATATCAACCGAATATCTAGGACGGTCAATCTAAAAAATATAGCGATTAATAAAAAATTGTAAAAAACTAATTAACTATTTATGTAACTATTAAATCGAGTTATAGCAAATTAAGTAGTGAATTAATTAGTTTTGTGTACAACATATTTTTTAAACTAGAGTCAAATGTAGCAATTAATAAAAAATTGTAAAAAACTAATTAACTATTTATCTAACTATTAATTCGAGTTATAGCAAATTAAGTAGTGAATTAACTAGTTTTGTGTACAACATATTTTTTAAACTAGAGTCAAATGTAGCAATTAATAAAAAATTGTAAAAAACTAATTAACTATTTATCTAACTATTAATTCGAGTTATAGCAAATTAAGTAGTGAATTAACTAGTTTTGTGTACAACATATTTTTTAAACTAGAGTCAAATGTAGCAATTAATAAAAAATTGTAAAAAACTAATTAACTATTTATCTAACTATTAATTCGAGTTATAGCAAATTAAGTAGTGAATTAACTAGTTTTGTGTACAACATATTTTTTAAACTAGAGTCAAATGTAGCAATTAATAAAAAATTGTAAAAAACTAATTAACTATTTATCTAACTATTAAACAAGAGTCAAATGTAGCAAATTAACTAGTAATTAAACAAGCGTAAATAATAGAATAATTTCGTACCTCTTTCGGACTTTCGGTCTTTCGGATGGGAGTAATAGAATGACTTCAAATTAATTAGATATAATTCCAACTATATTAATAGATATAATAAATATATAAGTAATATATAATTAGATAACAAATATAAGTAATATAATACTATTTATATCTATTTATAGTTTATATAAGTAGATAATTAATATAAACTATAAATAATAAATATAATATATTGGAGAATGGAGAATAAGAGAATTAGAGAGTAGAGAGTTAAGAATAGGATTTAGGAAGAATTGGAGAAGAGATATGAAAAAATGTTTAAGATTAGGAGTATTTATAGGTTTTTTTACCCCCCACCCCCCCACCACCCCCCACCAGCCAACCCCCCCGGACCCCCCCTTTACCCCACCCAACAGCTATATAGCCGTTTGGGTTGTCCCCAGCCCCACCCCCAACGGCTAGTAGCCCAAGAGCCCAAACAATTTTTTTTTTAAAATAAGACCGGACCCGGGCCCGACCCGGCCAGGCCGGGTCACATTAATCCAGCACCGAGCCCGCCCCGCCCATTCCCACCGGTTCGGGTCCATACCCGGTCCCGGACCGCCCGACCGGGCCGGTCCCGGGCCCGCACAGTACCGGGCCGGGCCGGGTCACGGGCCGAATCCAACCCTACCCGGCCCGGACGCGGATCGGACCTGGTGGCTACCTGGGCCAGTCCCGAGTCCACTATTCATGAACCGCCGGCCCGCCCGGGCCTAGGCCCGACCCGGACCCGGCCCGGACCCGAGTCCACCCCTATTTGAAATGCATAACGATACAATACTGACAATTTCATATAAAAACATGACATTCTCAATATGACATTTTCAAATACTGTAATGACATAAAAGTGACATTTTTTCAAATAATCAATAATAATAACATTCTCTGATTTAAAGAGTGACATTTTTTTGAGAATCATTAGTCAGAGCATTTTGATATTCAAATTAATCAAAAGTGATAACAAGAAAACAAGCTGAGATATATCCGATTACTTGTCCTTTGTTGAAATCTAACTCTTCATTTGAAACTTTAAAATTCATAGTTTCATTTAAAATTTGATTGATAGAAAATTAACAAAAAAACAGAAAGCAGAGAACCAGAACAGAGCTAGAAGAGAAGAAGAAAAAGAAAAAGAGGGTTACCTGCAAGTCTTGGAGGAATTGAATGGCTAGTAACTGGCCAGCAGTTCGTAGCTCAATCCACAAACATTTTAATGGCCAGAGAAATTGAGCAGCTAGTAACTCTCATGCGAAGGTGTCATGAGGTCAAGGGGAAGAAGATCGCAGCTCCCAAATCCGGAAGATGCCGATCACAGATCTAATTTTCAATATGTCTAAGGCGGTGATTTTGGGTTAATTAGGGAAAGAACAAAAAAGTTATTTTGAATCCTATTTAGAGAATAATAAACTTATACTCCTATTCAGGAATTTTGCCAATGTTTTAGTCAGGTTTTGGGCAATTTCTTATACTTTTAACGTTTATTTGGAAATTAGGGATTATCAAGCTCAAGTCAACAATCACAAGACTGGTTTCTGAAACAATATAAACAACATTCCGAATTAATCTATTATCATACATGGCGAGTTAGATTACACACATGGAGCCACAAAGGCAAACATTATCTCAACGTTGGAATTAAAAAATAACTTCTAATGTGACATGATCTCCTCAAGATAACGCCAAAACTGCTGACCACCAATATACAATGCATCTGCAACAAGAAAGACTCCAACCTATGCCCAACACATTTCAAACTTGTTAATAAAGAGTCAAAATTGAGATATAAGATTCCGTGATTTATAACTGAAAGGTCTATAAAAGATAAATTACCAGGCGTGCAGAAAACACTAATCTATACCCCCACCCTTCCTTGGCCGCAGCTGCTCTTTGCTGATCAGTCCAACTGGAAATGAAGTCATAAAGAATGTCCCAAGCCTTTAAACCCCCACATAAAATCTTATTTGATGTAGTGTTAGAAAATGAGAAAAGTTGACATTATTGTGGGACAGATCGAAGAGGAAAGTAGGGCACGTGAAGTGGACAAAGGGAGTCGTTATTAGCGCGCTCGCAACTAGAAAGAATCACCCAAAAATTCATGAATGTTTAAATAACATTAGGCTTCTCTTCTGTTATTCACCTTTTTAAGAGGATCTTCAATATGTATCACCTAGGCTCTAATACCCAAGTTATACAGCAAATCATGATAAGTAATTAAGTATATTCTAGAAATGTTTTGTACTGGTGTTCCCAACCAATCTAATGTGGCAAGAACTCAGAGTGAAAACCCGGCAGACAGCATAGCATGGCTGTAAAATTACTTATGTTGATTTTAATTTACGAATAGAATTAATCTATAGCATGCAGTCAAAGGATTGAAAAATGTGAGCTGAGATAGTTACCCAAGAAATTCTGAAACGCCACCAATTCCAGCAAACTTGAGAAGCACTGAGCCATCTACTATGAAATCCTGCTCCGCAGTATTAAAGGGTCAAAGAGGAATGAGCTCACAACACATGCCAATTTTCTTTTTCCACATTTGGTAAAAGTTTATCAAAATATAAATTCCAGGAAAAAATGAAATTAGAAGACATGCCTCATCTTCAGCAGCTTCCAAACCTCCTTGAACCCAAAATAGATTTTCATAGCCAGCATTGTACAATAATTCACAAGCAGCAAGTGATCTAGCCAGAATATGAGGTTTAAAAATCTACAGAATAACTGTTTATTTAACACCAGTAAAATGATCAGATGATATCTTTTGCCCACCATAAAATTCAATGAGCCAATTGTTAAAATTCTAATCGAGTTTGAAGTGGAAGAGGAAGTATCAAATGCATTTTAAATAAACAGAAAGGATCTATAGTTAGAAGCAAACCAATTGAATGCAATAATATTACCTCAGCCCCTTCTGGCATGCAACCATTAATTCAGAATCTTTGGGGAATTTTTCCTCAACTTTTGCTAAGAACTGCCTGTTGAAAAAAAGGAAAGGAAGAAGTTAGAAGTTTATGCAAGCAACTGATGTGAGAATGAACTAGAAGAGCAGAAGACAGTTTAAGGTACCTGTGATAAGACAGTGTAGGCATGCCACTCCACCAACCTCCTGTGCATCACAACATCAATTGAGATGTAGTAGGTTTGTAACAAAATGCAAAAAATATGTTTAGATTTTGAAAGTCTATCGTAATGCTAGATTATCTCAATACCCATTACAAAATTCGTGACCTTTCTGGGAATGGTTCCAAAATCTAGTTTGTCATCAACATCAAAAACAGGAATCCAGGTTGAAGATCTCACCCAGGCCTTCAAGACAGGAAAAACAAAAAGGAAAATATCACACCAATCAGCAATGAAGTGAAATAAAAGTAACAACGGTAAGGTTAACTATTTTAAAAAGAAAAAAATTGTACTCTTATTACATAATTTCAACAAAATCTAATTCATGGGAAATGCATCTGCTTTCTTTAGCTCCACTAATTGACTAACCGCAAAATTAGCATGTTTTAATGTCAAATTGCTTTATTCTTGTCCTCCTACGGTGGGGTAGAAAACTAAATTATGTGAGCAATGTAGGCATACAGAATAGACAGCCTCATCAAAAAAATAAACCTTGTTGTGTTCATTTGAGGGACGAACATCAAGAAGGGGCTTGTTTGAAAGCTGAACGGCATACCCAGCTTGCCTTGGGGTAAGAACCTTAACTTTTCCATCAATAATCTACAAAAGAAGCAAGCATTGACAAACCACATAAAGATCCCCTGGTCTACTTGTGAGTGAATCATCAGGTCCAAAAGGGGGTTACTCATTCAAAAGTGCACATCTTCCTAGAGGTGAGCAAATAACCAGTTAAACTGACAAAAACCGGAAGATGAACCAACCAAAAAAAAATGATTTTCAGTTGGTCATCGTGTATCATATTCAAATACTCAAAAAGATGTGATTCAGTTTGTATTTTAAAATCCAGTTCTAAAGTAGCCATTTTGGTCAGTTACAGAATAATGTAATAACAAAAGAGGCAAAATGAAAACATCCTGATTCAATTTCTTTATATCAAAGCACAAATGCTCCAGGCATCCACCTCTACATCCTTCACATGTACTCTACAGTTCTGAGAGTGCCATGGATGAGTAGCTGCATAGTGCCATGGATGAGTAGCCAGGAAGAAGATGGAAATGAATTATCTTATTAAGAATAGAAAGTTTACAGAGTATTTATAGAGGCTGTAGTCATAACAAACTACAACTAACATAACAGGAGCCTAACAGATCTTATTACAAAGTAATACACGAGTAGCATTCATATACTATTCCTAACATTCCCCCCCTCAAATTGAGGGTGATTGAGTTGGAAAATCAACCACACTCAGTTTGCCTTTGTAATCTGTCTCATCTAAATAAAAGTGCAATGGACTTCTGTTCTGCTTGTTGTCTTGGTAAAGCTCACAGATTACCATCCTATCCCTCTACAACTGTATTTCATTCTCCTTTTGAACTGATTTACACTGACTTATGGGGACCAGCTCCTATTCAGTCTTTTGATGGTTACAGATACTATATATCTTTTATTGATGCCTTCACTAAGTACACTTGGATATATTTTCTCAAAAAGAAATCTGATGCTTTCTTAGCCTTTCAAAACTTCTATCAATACATCCTAAATTAATTCAACATTTCTATCAAATCCATACAATCTGATTGGGGAGGAGAATTCAGGTCATTCACCAAATTCCTCACTGATAAGGGCATCAATCATAGAGTTATCTGTCATCAAAATGGTGTTGTTGAGAGGAAACATCGCACCATTGTTGAAAAAGGTCTATGTCTATTAGCTCATTCTTCTTTACCATTTAAATTCTGGGACACTGCATTTGCCACTGCAGTACACCTTATCAACAAACTTCCATCCAAATCTATTGCCAATCTCAGTCCTCATTTCAAACTTTATGGCACTCTCCCTGACTATAACTTTCTCAAAGCCTTTGGTTGCTCTGATACCATATTAGAAAAGGAGCCAGGAAGAAGATGGAAATGAATTATCTTATTACGAATAGAAAGTTTACAGAGTATTTATAGAGGCTGTAGTCATAACAAACTACAACTAACATAACAGGAGCCTAACAGATCTTATTACAAGTAATACACGAGTAGCATTCATATACTATTCCTAACATGGAGAGACCCTACAGAGTGGGGAGGCCAGAAGCATTTCAATCTGAGCATCAACGCTCCAGATTATCTCAGGTGGAAATAGAATGCTGATGTGTTCCCAGAGAAAGTGAAAAAGATTGTTAGATGAAATTGAAATACCAGAGCTTCCCATCTCTTCCTGGCTGCAGCCATGTCCCTCATTTGCTTCAATTCATTATCCTCAATCTGGGATTGGACTCTAAGGACGCTCTTCTTCTACAAAACACAAGCAACTATCATCTTGCACTTGCTTAAATAAACGCGGAACTCAGGTAAGAAAAAAGGCACAACACAAACACATGAATAATAACAATAACAATAACAACACTAATCGTCTTCATCGCCATTCATCATCATAACAATAAGAGAAAGAAAAAAATTAATACCGAAATGAGAGGTCTGGTTGGGAATGAACGATTGAGCTGTTGTGAGGTAGAAAGTGACGCATAATTTGAAGCAGCACTAAGAGAAGCGCTGTAGGCAGAGCGATTGCTGAGACTAATTTTAGGAAGGGATAGTGCCGCCATTGCCGTACAGGCGGCAAAAATCAGAATGTGAGAAATTTGGAAGGTATTCAGGTTACCGTAAATCCTATCCACCGGCTCATCTGAGTTTCGAAATGGCGAAATTCCTTAGACCAGGAGTTACTACAAAACCAGGAGTTACAGCTTACCGAAATACTCTTTATTTTGGAACATGAGGACGTTTTTTGTCACATTTTAATGTAATTTTCCTACTTTTTTAATGTAATTTTAACACTATAGTCACATTTTTTTTTGTAAATAACTCTTATTCCATTAATGTAAATATTTGCAAGAAATTATGTTCTCACATCGTAATAACCTCATACATGTATAATTTACAAAACCAAATTATTATCAGAATCTCGTTCTATTCACCTTTTTTAGTAATGTATGTATTTTTGAGAAAATACTTATACATTTAGTATGCTTATATTTCGTCTATATATGTTATTGTTTTTGTTCTTGATCATCATTTCAAACTTGATGCACATTAAACATTTTTAGAGTACTATTATACTTGTGTCTATGGTGAGTTGCCTATGTATGATGACACCGTTATAGATCCTCAAACATAATTCATAATTTATTTGATGAGTTTCATGCACAATATGCTAATGTATTACTCCCTCAAAATCTACTCTTGCCGTTACAAAGCTCGATTAACGAACTTTCTTTATATTTAAAGTTTCATGTTGAGCATGACAAAGAAGAAGTGTTTAACATTTTTCAATGGTGGAAGGTCAAACAAGGAATGCCCCCCATTTGATAAAAAATGGAGAAACAGGTGCAATCAATATCAGTTTCAATTTTTCAATGATTGCCATGTAGCAAGCGTTAATGAACTTGGCAACATCAGTTTATAGTTTTGTTCTCACATTTTAATAACATTGTATGTGTATAATTTACGAGACCAAATTATTATTATCATCAAATCCTCACTCAATTCACCTTTATTTTAGCAATGTAAGTATTTTCATGAAAATGCTTATATATTCATTATGCTTATTCTGTCTATATATGCTATTGCTTTCATTCTTCATGCTTAGTGATGGACCCGAGCCGGTCCAGATCTGGTTCCGGGCCAGACCCGGGCAGGCTTTTTTTGCAAATCCTTGGGCCTGGAACCGGCCCGGGTTGATACCGGGTCCGGGCCCTTTCTTGTTATCCCCCGACCACCCCCCTCTCAGCCCCACCCCCCCAAACCTCCCCAAAACACCCAGCCCTACCCTAGGAAAAGAAATAAATTGGAAAAACAAAAAAAATTGACCTGGGCCCGGCCCGAAGTCCCGAACCGCCCGAGCCGGTTCACCCAAAACTGGGCCTGAGCCCGGCGCACCCACCCGCCCAAACGGGCTAAAAGCCCGGAACAGGCCAACCGGTCCTGGTCCAGGCCCGCACAGTAGCGGCCCGGCCTGGCGCGGTTTAGTCCATCCCTATTCATGCTTATTCTAAACTTGCTAGTCGCTACTCATAAAACATTTTTAAAGTACTATTATACTTGTGTCAACGATGAGTTGCCTATAAATGACGACACTGTTATATATCTTCATGCGCAATTCAACAGAATTAGTAGTCTAATTCATAATTTAACATAACAACGCCCCAATATGTTAACGCAATGTTTTGTATAAAATTATACTTTATTTTTTATATATAATGTTTTTCTTTTATATTGCCAATATATTGAGTTTTAAAAAATATTGAACTGCAATCCCGATTTCAGCGTACTTCTGACCATATTTTTAGAATAGATTATAGGATAGACGTTAGATATTTAACTAAAGTTGATTGAAATGCAAGTAAAAAAAATCGACACATAAGCTAAAATCGGGATTAAGAAGTTGTCAACGGGTGATTAGGACTCATTTGATTTAGGGGTGGAGTCGGTTCGGGCCACCCGGCCCGTGACCCGGCCCGGCCCGATTGGGCGGTCCGGGACCGGGTATGGGCCCGAACCGGTGGGAAGGGGCGGGACAGGCTCGGTGCTGGAATAATGTGACCCGGCCCGGGAGGGTCGGGCCCGGTCCTATTTTAATTTTTTTTTTTAATCTTGGGCTACTAGCCGTTGGGGGTGGGGCTAGGGACAACCCAAACGGCTATATAGCCGTTGGGTGGGGTAAAGGGGGGGGGGGGGGGTCCAGGGGGGTTGGCTGGTGGGGGTGGGGGTAAAAAACCTATAAATACTCCTAATCTTAAACATTTTTTCATATCTCTTCTCCAATTCTTCCTAAATCCTATTCTTAACTCTCTACTCTCTAATTCTCTTATTCTCCAATATATTATATTTATTATTTATATATCTACTTTATAGTTTATACTTAAGAAGTTAAGATGGAAAATCAAGATGCCATTATACGGTATAATTTTGATAAGCAGAAGGACCCGAAGACCGGGATGTGGTACGCAATTTGCAAATGGTGCGAGAAAAAATGTAGCATGGGGGTTTCTGACGGATTCGGGATGGCAATCAAGCATATGAAGTCATGTGACAAAGCCAAAGGATCGGGAGGTGCGAGAAGTTCCGATTGATTACAATTTTCAAAATGTTTATCTCTTAAAGTTTGTTTTAATTTTCAAATGTAGTTCCTATTTCATTTCAAATAAATGCAATTGAAGTTTGTTTTTAATACTCGTATAAAACTATAAACTATAAAATATAAATTATAAAAAAAAATTTAACCGGCCCGGCCGGAACCGGACCCGACCCGTGACCCGGGCGGGTGGCCCGGCCCGGCCCGGACCCGTCCAACCCTCGGGCCAGTCCCGGGCCCATGTCATACTACCCGGCGGCCCGACCGGCCCTAGGCCCGGCCCGGGCCCGACCCGGCCCGACTCCATCAATAATTTGATTAATCTCCTCCATCTGAGATTTTGAGGGCTACATGACTGAAACCAAGTAAAAACGGAAAGGGTACCTTCTCTTCAAAATAAGGTACCTACTAACTTTATTATGTTTTGCAAAAAATAGGTTAACTAACCGCCCGGGTCTACCGCTATGGCATTGCAAGACTACTTTTAATTCTACTACTTTTAAAGCATTGAAGCATTGCATCAAATGTCCATCTCACTGGAATACAGCTACGCAATCCATCGAGTGATTAATTACACGCAGGAAAAACAAAATATTAACAGAGGCACTTTTGATGAAGCAAAAACTCTGTTGCCGTCAAAATTTGAGGATGGTGCCATTGCTATCTTATTCTCCCTGCACTTTAAGAGGGTGCAATTATTAAAATAAATAAACAAAGACTAGCAAAAACAATTAACATGAATGCAATCATCTGCTTTGCAACTACGATAAGTTTATGGAATTAGAAAACAAGAATTTGTGTATGCCATTCATGAACATGAGAATCCATCTTTATCTAGAGTATTACATCAAACTCATTCATGTCAACAGAGATATATATTAACCTGAACTCTAATTTTGAGTTGATGCAAACACCATTTAAATGAAAGACGAGTACAGATTATTACCACATCAATCCGTCAGCAAGAAACTTTTTTCCCCACTACCAGTCAGTCAACAAAGAAGCAGAGCTAAACTCTGCTGAATAAGCACCAAAAGAGCATGGTGGATATAGTAAAACATTAGTGTCTAGAAACGCCGTGGAGTTCTAGAAGGTTTAGGTAGGGGCCAATGTGGTGACACCGTGATAAGAATAGAAAGTGAATTTCTGGATTGCGCTTTGGGATATGGAACACTGTCTTTTACAGGAAAATCTCTAAGTTAGTCAAGTTACATGGAACAAAGACTGTCTTTTACAGGAACACTGTCTGGATTGCGCTTTGGGATCATGAAGATTAACATTATATGCGAGCAAGAAACTGAGTTGGGGAGAAGACAATAAACACTGATCAGGGAGGTTTTGTATTGTGATGATATTCAGGAAAAACCAAGGTTGTCAAAGTTGTAAGGCACACCTGAAGCGCTAGGAGTCTTCTAGCGCCTGAGGCGCAAAACGCAAAAAGCGCTCGGGTGAAGCGCATTACTTATATAAAGTCACATATACTATTCTATAATTACCAAATATGATGTATGTAACATCATATTGAACCAAATGCATAAAAAAGCTAGGATTCACCAAAATAAAGTCATGATTCACAAAAATAGAAGTCCAAATTTAGAATTCATGGCTTTAATACTAAAACTAAAACTAAAAGATCAAAGCTGGAATTAGTTAATACATGGGAAACCATAAATAAACATGTACTAAAAACACATTTATCTTTAGTACATATAAAGTTAAGATATACGTAGTATATCTTTACTACATATATAATGGAATCAGTTAGTTAATTGATACATAAAGTTACTATATGGAATCAGTTTGATATATAAAGTTAAGAACATACATCTTAAGTACATTAGTACATATGACTTTAATATATTTAAAGTTAAGAACATATATCTTTAGTAGTTAGTACATTAGGTACATATAACTTTAATAAATTTAAAGTTAAGAACATATATCTTTAGTACATAACTACATATATTAAAGTAATATATTTCAAGTTAAGAACATAAAAGAACATATATCTTTAGTATGTATATTAGTGTTATATACAATGTAGAGTACTATATACGTATATTACAAAGCAGAGTACTATAAGAGTATGAGTATTATATACATAGTAATATACTAAAAAATTAAAAAGCAGAATACTATGAGTATTATTTGCATACTAATATACTAAAAAATCACAAAGCGAGGAGATACTAATATGTAGCTTGAGTGTCAAGTGAGGAAAGCGAGGAGAGTGAAGAGGATGGCTAGCGATTAAGCTTTGTAGTGTGTTGCGCAAGTTTACGTTTTTACGTACTTACAGTCTTAGTTTTACGTAGGTTTAACTTTTTTTACCCTATTGTTTTCATAGGCTGAGGACTATTAAAGATATGGGTTAATTGTTTTTCAAAGTTTTAAACCAAAAAAGGGCTGTCAGCCTTTTCTGTCTCAGGCAAGCGCGCGCCTATAGCGCTTCCGCGCTTCACGCGCTTCTAGCGCTTAGACTGCGCCTTGCCCAGGGTTGTGCGCTTCTACCTTTCTCAGGCGCTAGGGGCGTAGCTCGCTGCGCCTTGTGCGCTTAAGCGCAGAAGCGAGCACTTTTGACAACACTGGGAAAAACAAAGACTAGAAATGGGGTATTCATCATTGGCTCGTGAGGATATTCAGAATGTGGTGAAAGCCATTAGGAAGAACAGGCACATTATGAGCATTAAATCAATGATAGGAGATGAGATTTGTGTCCGTGATGAGTTCCTATGCATCACAAACGAGGTTGGATGCATCTAACACTCAACCGTTCTGGGTAATAGGGGCGATGGATATGTGGGCTCGAGTTGTGATGACTTTGAGAGTGTCCATGAAGGACACATTTATCTAGTCAACACCTTTGGCATCTGATCCACCTATGATTACTTATCCGGATTAAACCCTAACCTCATGTCCTAAACCCCTATTTGCATCTTCAGATCCAATTTCTATATTAGATCTTGACCTCCCTATAGCACTTCCTTAATGTACACAGTCATGTACTCCTTCAAAGCAAATAAGGAGTAAATTGGAGAAAAGTAGCAAAAAGTGATAAAGGTGAGGCTGGGATTCGAACACCGGTCACTTGAACAAAGAAATAGATCCTCAACCAGTGAGCTAAATGAACCAAGTTGAACTTTTATGTTGGAAATTTGTATATATTACTTCAGCCCAGCAGTGAAAAATGGAACAAAAGGAAGAGGTCGAGCAACAACAAAAGGGTGTAGACAACAACAATGAACTTGATGTCGGTACCATGCCGAAATCATCCGATGACCATGAAGGGTCGAAGAAAGAAAGAGGCAGTTCGGTAAGGAAATACATTCTCCCAGATCCTTATCCGAACAGATTGAAGAAAGATAATATGGAGGAGCAGAGAACTAAATTTTTGAATGTTATCAAGCAATTGGATATCTCAATTCCTTTGCTTGATGCCATTACAGAAATTCATTCATATGCTAAATTTCTCAAAGACATTCTCACAAAGAAGAAGGAGAATCTAGCCACTGTCGCAATGAGCCAAGAATGTAGTGCCATAATCCAAAACAAAATTACACCCAAGTTACGTGATCCTGGAAGCTTCTCAATTCCTTGTATCATTTGTGGATCTAAAGTTAACAAAGCTCTTTGTGATCTTGGTGCAAGTGTTAGCTTAATTCCATGTTCACTATGTCAAAAGCTACACTTGGGGGTCCCAAACCAACAACAATGGCATTACAATTGGCTGATTGATCTGTCAAATATCCTATCGACATTCTTGAAGATGTTCCTGACTTCCTGTCAAAATTGACAAGTATTATATCCCAAGTGACTTTGTTGTCTTGGATATGATGAAGATGCCCAAGTTCCTGTTATTCTTGGAAGACCTTTTCTAGCCACGACAGGAGCAATTATCAACGTTAAAAAGGGCACCCTTATCCTTGAGATTGGGGATGATAAGATCGAATTCAATGTACAAGAGTTGAGTAAGGACACACCTTGTGTCCTTGATGGTTACTATGCTGATGTTATAGACACTTGTACCATAAAGACGTTTGATGAGTCTTATTGGCTTTCTAAAGATCCCATGTAGTACACCATACGAGAATCTTATGCAGATGAGCAAGCCAATGAAATGGTGAATTTATGCCTCGAAATGTTACAAAGCATATCTTTACCGATTCTGGCGAATATTTTTTCCCAATTCGGAGTTCCACGATCTTTCATCACCGAAAATGGTACTCATTTTTGTAACAAAGCATTGGAACGTGTCCTTTCCAAATATGGGATTCACCACCGACTCTCAACTCCATACCACCCGCAAACAAATGGCTAAATGGACTTTCAATCCGAGAAAACAAATCAATTCTCGAGAAAGTTGTTAATCCTTCCCGAAAGGATTGGGCCAAAGAGCTTAATGATGCACTATGTATAGCTAAATAAATTTGGGGCTAGAAATTGGTTTACTAATTGTTCTTATCATGTTTTAATTTGTATTGATTTTAATTGTTAAGTTTGTTCTATTTAGATTGTTGTGTCCAGAAAATTAATTATGTTGTGTTTGTGATATATATATTATGAGTACTCAATCATAAACATATTGTTTGTTAAATATACAAATGAACACTTTCTGAACACACCATTAAATTTCTTTTACCTTGTCCCGGATTGAAGTTTTACGGGAGAATTTAATTATTTAATTATATTATTTACACCATGGGGTTGGGTAGATAATATAGTTAATAATTAAGGTTGTCGTTGCACTTAAACAACTAGTCTCGTTTTGGCCATCACTGGGAAATGTTGACTAGTTACTTATTTTAGGTAACTTGTGTTGGGTCCTAAAATATTTATCTACAACTTCTCACAATCTATGTAAGAATAAAATTAGCAATTATGTCTTTCAAATGAGCATTGAACAATTAGTTGCCAATTTCTACCCCTACTTGCTATTGGTTGAACTTTGTGTTGATAAAAATCTCTTCTCTCGATCACTTTTATTTAATTACTTTTCCAAGTAAACAAAAATCAAAAGAAACACATTCCCATCTTTAATCCTTAGTTTGTGCTTAATTATTTTATTTCTCGCTTCTCTGTGGTTCGACACCCTACTTCCTTGGGTAAAAAAATAGTTGTGTGCCCATTATATGCTACACACCAATAGCTTTATGGCTAAACAAGAAGGATAATTAGGAATAGCTCATACACTCTTTGCACATTAAAAAGAGCATAGAACAAATACACTAAACAGTCATTATAAATTATTTATTATTTACTTTATAGGGGCACTTCTCAAATGATATATATGAAACTTGATTTGATATATATGATAACTCAACACTTACCTATGGCATATTACGCATGACAGTCTCAATCTGCCTTCAAATTGGCTATGACCCTCTCAAACTCTTTTCTCTGTTGCTGGTAATTTAAACAAAGACAGTAGCTAAAAATTAATGAAACTATGAAGACAGAATGAAACTATGTCGAGCATGGAAAAATAGTGGGGATGGTTTAATACGTTGTGCAGCTTCTTCCAGCAAAATTCAGATCGACATTGCCTTAACCGCCACTCCATGGCCATTTCATATTCAATAGTGTTCGGCTGAGAGCAGTGAGAAGTAGATACTGCTTCTCGCTGATCAATAAAAAGTTAGAGCTCAGAGACAGCTTAAGTCATAAATAAATCATAAATCCTCAGAACTAAAACTCAAATTGATCAAAATGTTTTTGCTGAAAGAGAGGAAGGGGTCTGACCATTTCTCTTTGCATTTGATGCCTAACTTTATCAATAACAAGATGGCCAACAAATGAAGACGTGCTTCTTTGGGACTTGGGAATTGCAATAATGTCAGCAACAAGTGGCCTGTAAGTACAAGCAGTAACATTATGTGTCATGTTATCGTGTAGTTTCTTTCCTGGGTGAGCCTCTCATTTTCCAATTCAAGGTTCACCCTTGCTTAACAATCAACATAAATATTATATGCTCTTCTACACAGAATGAAAATTTTACAAAGGTTAAAACGGGGCTTGCATATAAAATCACAAACCAGAAATCCCACCAACTTCCTCTCGTACTACCGGGGAGCACAAATTGCTCCAGATGGTATATGTTCTCGGCATATCCTTCACCCAAAATCGATTGCCGTAACTACTACAATCATATACTTACCTATTACAATACATTTATTTCATTTGTGACCTGTAATGTGAGAATTCCCAAACCTACATACGATGCACTATGATATGATAGCTAAGATGAAAACTCTAGAATCTAGATACTCTAACTAAGTGAGAGTTGGTCACACATCCATCAAGTATATCTGTTGGAGGATGGAGGTGGATACAATGCTTAAAAGGTACTTTTAAGCATTGATTCAGCTTTGCATTTGTGAAGGAAACGTAACTGCATTTTTTAAAGAGTACACAATAAATACGCTACTTTTGCATTTGTGAGGCAAAATATTAGCCTAATAGTAGAAAAGATAGAATAAATATGCTATCTCAAGTAAAATGCTTGAATTTTTAAGGTGGAGAGTTGCAAGAAGATGATTATTGTTTCCAGACAGATGTTAGGGCTTTAATGGGATTAATAAATGTTTGCGGGATAGAAACTAATACCCCGCAAAACACTTCAACCATCTGAGACTTATGTTGTACTTCATTAATTTGAAACTTAAATCCTAGGTTTTTTTACTGCCTCGCACTGACGTCTGACTATAAGGTTATCCCAGGTGCGAGTGTTGTCACTCGAAGTGGTGGAGGCAAGTTAAGCAACAAGTGAAGCCAAAGATAAAGTGGTGGAGGCTCAAGGGGGATCTCCAACAAACCCATCTGACAAAGCTTTACACACAAAATGTTTGGTGAAGATGTATGATGTATTGATAATGAAGCACAAGTGGAGGATGTGTGATTGTTAATGGAGTTGACCATTAAAAAAGTGGAAAATGAGGTACTTGGAGAATCTAGAGGATGTCTGCCACCAAAAAAGGATACATTTTGGTGGAATGATGAGGTGAAACAAGGCATAAGGAACAAAAGAGATTGCTACAAAAAATTGGGAACAGGTTGGAGTGATGGAACATAGAAGCATACAAGGAGGCTAAAAGACAGGCAAAGAAAGCCGTAAAGGAAGCACAAAGAAAAGTGAACAATGAGTTGTATGAAAAGTTGAACTCTAAAGAAGGAGAAAAACTTGCTCGTCTTCGTGATCGTAGGCCTCAAGATATTGAAAAAGTGAAGTGTGTGAAGGATGTTGATCAAAGGATATTAATGGAGGACGGAGAAATAAAAGAGAGGTGGAGGTAATACTTTGATACACTATTTAACGAGGAAAAAGCGCAAGATATTAGTGATTTGACCATACCAGATTGTATGATGAATCGACATTTTGTGAGAAGAATCCAAACGGCAGAAGTTAAAGAGGCTCTGAGGAAGATGGGACAAATGAAAGCAATGGATCCAAATGACATACCAATCGAGGCCTGGAGAAGTTTGGGGGAGAGAGGCGTCGAGTGATTAACAAGTTTCTTCAATAAGATTTGGAGAAACAACAAAGTGCCAGCGAGTTGGCGGAAGAGTACCCTTAATCCCTTATTTAAGAAAAAGGGTGACGTACAAGAATGTGCCAACTTTTGAGGGATTAAGATCACGAGTCACACCATAAAACTTTGGGAGCGAGTGATTGAGCAAAGACTCTGAAAAGTAAGAACAAAGGACCCACTCCAAGAATCTGGCTCTAATCCCACTGAACTCATACTTACAAAATATACAGCCTCCTCCACCCTCAACCTTACCATTTCAGCTACCAACTTCATCACCACAAAACCTAGAACCAGATTTCCATTAGAAGAGCACATCACTCTGATTAACACCATCCCAATATCTGATTCAAATCTGAATCCTGATGAAGAAGAGGTTGAGGCTACATAAGGAGATGAGGGTGAACATGACTTGCCTATTGCCATTACAAAGAGAGTAAGGGAGTGTACAAAACATCCTATCTATAATTTTGTTTGTTATAAGAAACTATCGACCAACTATCAAGCTTTTATTTCAATGATTGATAGTATTCAGATTCCTAACAACAACAAGGAAGCCCTTGAACATCAAGGGTGGAGGAAGGCTATTTATGAAGAATTAGCAGCATTGAAGAAGAATGAAACTTGGGTGCTTACAGATTTAACAGCAAGGAAGAAAACTGTTGGCTGCAAGTGGATATGGATATTTACAGTTAAATATCAGGTTGATGAAAAAATTGAAAGGCTGAAGGCAAGGCTGGTTGTTAAGGGGGTTTACCCAAGCTTGTGGCAATGATTATTCAAAGACATTTACACCAGTGGCGAAATTGAACACCATTAGAGTGTTGTTATCACTTGCAGTGAACCTAGACTAACCATTACATCAACTAAATGTTAAGAATGTCTTAATGGAGACCTAGAAGAAGAAATGTTCATGGATGTACCACCATGGTTAGAAGACTTGATGAAATCATGCAAGGTTTACAGACTGAGAAAGTCCTTGTACGGGCTAAAGCAATCTCCTGGAGCGTGGTTTGATAGATTTACAAGATCAGTCCTCAAGAAAGGGTTCACGCAATGTCAAGCATACCACACACTATTGTAGAGAGGGCACACTCTGGTAAAATGTCTATTCTTATAGTATATGTTGATGATATTATTATGACCAAGGATTATAGGGTTGAATTGAACATATTGAAGGCTCATGTAGCAAGAGAGTTTGAGATCAAGGAGCTAGGCGAGTTGAAGTACTTCCTCGAGATGAAAGTGGCAAGATCTAAGAAAGGCATTTTCATTTCACAAAGGAAATATGTCCTAGACTTGCTTGGGTGCAAGCCTTTGGATATATCTGAAGTTTTCTGAATATTATTTCCATGAATTCATTTACAAGAAGTACATAAGCTATTTATACAGATAGGAATCCTGAGAGAGTCTATTCAGCACCCTAGGTGACTGTCTAAACACTAAACATAAATGATTGAGAACTAAAAAGACAGCAGCTATTAAATACAACCTGAAGCACTAAGGACACATAATTACAGTAATAATAAGGAAAATAAATCCTAGATTAATGATGTCTCTTCGTTTTATCAACACTCCCTCTCAAGCTAGGTTTGTAGATATCCGTCATGCCTAGCTTGACAATAAGACCCTGGAACCTAGGACTGTGCAGAGGTTTGGTAAACACATCTGCAACTTGATCTTCTGAGGGAGTGTAGCTTAGTTCGATCAGACCTCCTTCAACCTTTTCTTTGATAAAGTGCCTATCAATCTCTATATGCTTGGTCCGATCATGTTGGACTGGATTATGAGCTATGTTGATTGTTGATTTGTTATCACACCTCAATTCCATTGGTCCTTTCCACTTGATTCGTAAATCTAAGAGAATAATTTTGATCCATAGAAGTTCACATAAGCCATGGGCAAGAGCTCTTAGCTCAGATTCAGCAGATGATTGTGCCACAACATTCTGTTTTTTGCTTCTCCATGTCACGAGGTTTCCTGCTAGGAAAACACAGAGACCAGTAGTTGACCGGCGGTCAACGAGGGAGCCACCATAATCTGCATCAGTGAAGGCTTGGACTGATAATTGCCCACCCTTCCTGAATATTATCCCTTGCCCTGGACTTCCTTTTAGGTAGTGAAGAACCCTATAAGCTGCTTCTAGATGTGGTTTCCTTGGATCATGCATGAACTGACTCAAAACACTAACTGCATAGGCAATGTCAGGTCTAGTATGAGAGAGATAGATAAGTTTGCCACACAAGCACTGATACATTGATGAATCAACCTTGGGTTCATCAATAGCAAGTCCAAGCTTATGATTAGGATCCATAGGTGCATTAACCGGTTGACAAGCACTCTTACCAGTCTCATTTAACAAATCTGTAATGTACTTTTGTTGGCTGATAAAGATGCCTTCAGATGAGCGAGCAACTTCAATTCCAAGAAAGTATTTTAGAGGGCCAAGAGACTTCATCTCGAATTTGGATTTCAGCTGCCTCTCAAGACGTTGTTTCTCAACTGGATCATTACCCGTCACAATGATGTCATCCACATATACTATAAGAATAGTGACTTCATTGGGGCAAGAGTGTTTGTAAAAAAGAGTATGATCCCCTTGGCTTTGACTATACCCAGCAGCAAGAACAACCTGTGTGAAGCGGTCAAACCAAGCACGAGGGGATTGCTTGAGACCATAGAGGGCTTTTTTTAAATGACATACATGTGTAGAGGTACTTGTTGATGTTTTATTAAAGCCTGGGGGAATGTACATGTAGATCTCATCATGCAAGTCACCGTGGAGAAAAACATTCTTGACATCAAATTGCAATAAAGGCCAATCAAAGTGAGATGCCAAGGATAGTAGGATACGGACAGTATTGAGCTTAGCTACAGGAGCAAAGGTCTCTTGATAGTCAATCCCATACGTCTGAGTGTATCCTTTAGCCACAAGACGAGCTTTGTACCGCTCAAGAGATCCATCAGCCTTGTATTTGACAGTAAAGATCCACCTGCAACCAACAACATGCCTCCCAGGAGGTTTAGTCACAATATCCCAAGTATGGTTCTTTTCAAGAGCTCTAATTTCCTCTTGCATAGCATCCCTCCATTCTTTCTTTCCTAATGCCTCAGAAACAGAGTTGGGTATGGGAATTTCATTAAGTCTCTGAACAAACAAGGCATGTGAAGGAGAGAAGTTATAAATGGTAACAAAATTAGCAAGAGGGTATAGAGGTGTTTTGGTACATTGACATACACCCTTGCGTAAAGCAATTGGCGGAGATGGTGGTGGAGAAGAAGAGACATTACCCGGGTCAGCCAATTGGTCATGCGTCAACAATGG